TTTTAAAGACTTTAACACCTCTTCTTTCGTAATTGTTAACGAGTTGAAAGACTCAGCATTATTACTAACTGCAGTTGTAGAGAAAAAATTATATGATGGGGCTGGATCTGTAAATACACTTTAGAAATGTATTCATTAAACCCTTTACAGATTTCTTCATCTGTTGTATATTTATTTGTGCCTAAATGAAGAGTTTTTGGATAACTAGTAGTTTTTAAACATTTAGATTTAATATACGTCCATAACAGTTTGGAGTCTTTATAATACCTTCTTGCATTTTCTTTACGTAGAAATTATAACACTCCTTTTGTATCTTATGTTGCCTATTTCTCAGTAACCTGAACTCGTCATAATCACGTGGATTTTTGTACTTTTTCCACCTGCGGTGCACTGAAATTTTTTCTTTAATAACGGCTATTAGTGTTTTTGAAAACCATACCGGGTAGTTATATCGTCTTGATAACATGTACTTTGGGACGAATTTTTCTATTATTTTGTATAATTCATTATATAATATATCGACGCTTTCTTCGGTTGATTTATTACTAAATATGAATACCCAATCAATATTACCTAATTTATTATTTATGCTTTCATAGTCCCCTTTATAGAAGTTATGCCTAATTTGTGGTTTAGATTTTCGATCAGAAACTAGAATTTCAGAAGCATCTACTTCTATTGCTGGATGAAAATGATCTTCTAATAGTAAGGGTGTATGTCGATCGGGAGTTATTAGGTGTGTATTACTGATTAATAAATCTAATATATGATTGCTACTATTACTTTTCAAATTGTATTGACTAAGACCCAAAAATTTCAAGTTATTTATAAAGTTACTGGAAGCAGTTTGAATATCACAGGTACCTAAGCGTGAGTGTACAGGTCCTGTTAATGTCCAGTTAATATTTGGTAAATTAAAATCGCCAGCTAAGATGATATAATCCTGTGGGTGGGCAGACATAACCGCAGAGAGCGAATCTTGTACTAGAGTCAATTGATAAGATTGCATTGGACCGCTAGGTATGTATACAACTCCAACGTGGAGGGCATAACGCTGCGTATTGCTCAGTGTAGGTACGAGCTGCAATACTTTTCCATACAAGTTCTAACTACTAAACTCTAATCTTTCTTGAGGCTGGTAGAGGCGTTTTGCACATATCATTACTCCCCCTCCAATGACTTTACCTGATGTATTGCTATTGCGATCGCACCTAAATGCTGCATACCGATTATCACATATTTCGTTTGATGAAAAACTTTCGTTTAGCCATGTCTCTGTTAGTAAAATTAAATCATAATCATTCAGTAATATATTTTGGTTTAGTTTGTTAACTTTGGTTCGTAAACCCCGAACGTTTTGGTAATATAGAGTTAATGCGTTACTTATTTTAATGAAAGAGGAATATAAGTAATAGTATTATTATAATCTGTTAAAATAAAATGATAGTTAATTTGGTTTACAAATTCTGTCGTGATCCTAGTATTAAATTTATATCTAACTGAAAAATTAGAGAAAATTATTAGTAACATCACTGTGAAGAGATAATTTTGGATTATGATATGTGTGTGTGAGTAATGGTGTAAAATGTAACAATGAGCAAGAAATAAACAATTGAGCATATGAATATAAATTAAATAACTACACTTGTTAATAACAATAATTAGTGATATATGGTTATTAAATCTAAAGTGAAATGTGTTCAAACTATTTTCAATAAATCTTTTTCTGAAGTTATTGATATGACCGGTGACTTTTCGTTCTTTCTGGTAAAGATTTGACAGTTTTTTGTCCATACAAATTTGTACGCCAATTCTGTTGCCTTCAGCTTACATTTTTTGTATAGAGCCTTATTTTCGGGTGTAAGATAATCGTTAACTTATATAGGTTTTGATTCACCTGTTAATCCTTTATCCTTTGTTGAGATGCCTTTAGATTTTTTTAGACCAGAAATCACATTATCTTTCAGACATCTCTGTCTTAATTTGGCAACGATGACCCTTGGTCGGCCTTCAATACGATTCAAAGGCTGCACTCTATTAGCAAAGTCGATATCCTGTTCATTGAGTGGAACACCTGCATGATAGCAGATCTTGATTATTATATCTTTTGGATTCTCATTTTTTACTTCCGGAACACCAAAAACTTCAATATTCTGTTGTCTCGACCACTGCTGCTGTCTGGAAATCTGACAGTGAAGATCATTTAAAGATTCTTCTAAGTTAATTACATTGTTCTTCAGGGTCATGCATTCTTCATTTAATTTGTAGTGTTCAGTCTGTAAATTGGAATGGGAGTCAAGAGATGGCTGACAGAAGATCCCTTGGACAGCCTTGGTGAAAGAACAGAATGCACGAGTTCCCGAAGGAAGTCGAACTATTTTCTCGCCAATTCTGCCGATGTGTTCTGACTTTGCCTTGGAAATTACACTACTGAATGACCTGGAGGCGGAATTTTACTTATTTTTGAGAGCGCTGGTATTTGCATCCCGTGACGTCGATGTATCAGCATAGACCCGTTAGAACTCCTGCCTATGTTGATTTTGCAGGAACAACTAAATCATGGCTGAGGTCTGCCTCCGATAGGTACCACAGATGATGGAATAAAAAGTACCATTCCCTGAAGCAAAAAAAAAACAGCGACAGAATCGGCAACAACGTTGCGATAATCCGGTGTGAAGCAAACCCGCCCCCAAGGGTAGCATGCAAAAAAAGACCGCATCCTGTCCCAATCGGCCGACCTGACCAAACACGGTAGCCACCTGCAGAACGTAACCGCGATGGGAGCGTGAGTGGCACCACACTTCGGACTAGACAATGGTTTGAGGGACATCGACGGACACCTGATACCTGTCCGGATGAGTGGAAAACTTAAAATCGGATGCAGTTTTAAGTTTTTATTAGATACTAGCGATCCGCCCTAGCTTCGCACAGGAGATCTCAACAACAGCGCCACCTACTGAGTGCAATTGTGAATCTAAACCTCCAGGGGTCGACTGAAACAGTCACAAACAAATTTCATCAAAATCGGTCCAGCCGTTTCGGAGGACTTCAGTCACATACACACGGACAGAAGACTTGCCTTATAGGGGAGATATTTTACATATTTACCACGCTTGGTAAGCGTGGTATTAAATTAAGTTAATTAAAAAATAAAGTTTTATATTATTTGGAGTTGTTATCGGAAAATGCTATTGTCCGTCTCTCCTATTTAATTTCCCTCTGTCGCTTACGACACCCACAGGATTATATGGGGTAGTGTATTCGTTTACGGCGCCACTACACGGCGAAAGGGATGCTATTTTTATATTATTTTTGATTAAGTGTCTAATTTTTGGTATGAAAATTTAAAATTTTGCACAACCGACTTCAATATCAATTATTAAGAATAACTCAAAAACTATTGGTCAGACCTTAATCAAGATTTATATGCGACCACGTGAGAAGCATCAGCTTTCAAATAAAAATAATCGAAATCGGTTCACCCAGATAAAAGTTATGAGGTAACACACATAAAAAAATAACACACAGTCGAATTGAGTACTTCCTCCTTTTTGAAGTCGGAAGAAAACTGGTGTATTGTAGCGAAAATATCATACGCGCGCACGATACGTACTTCTCGTTGGCCCTCGCCCAATTTCTGGTCGTAAATTTTATCATATCCGATAAATGTATAATTCAGTTCAAAACATTCCTACTGGCACCAATTTTTTGTGTTGGTCCCTATAGTTTAAATTCACAATTGAACCCGGTAGGTGGCGGTACTGTCGAGATCCAGAAATTACCAGTGCGTAGCCGGGCTGGGTCGCTAGTTGTGTATATGTAACCTTATTTCAAAACGGTAATAAAATTTACAAAATGACATGTGCCCAATGAAATTCTATTTTCTTACGTTGATGTAACAAATATACATCACTTCTATTTCATTTCAAACTTACCATCTAGAAATAAACATATGGTTTGTTCGTAAACACACTGGAGCTAATCAAGCTCTTCGAGAAGTTATTCTGCCCTCATCGTAGCTCCCCAACTTGGTAGAGTACAGCAAGACGTGTTCTACATGCTCCATTTTTATATAGAGTAACAGTGACAAATAAGCACACAGTCCACCTGATGGTAAGTGGATGCTGTAGCCCATAGACAAAATGCAGACGCGTTGTCACCCTTGAGGACTAAGATGGAATGCCTCATTTCCAGTAATAAGGGTCTTCGGTTCTCTACACTCATCATACGAAACACAGCAGCATTAAGCTGCTTTTACACGCTGGTATTCTGTGAGAGCGTGGTCCTTCTCCGGTGGAGCCGAACCATTCGTGCTACAACCATAATACAGCTGCAGCGTGTAAAACCTAGTATGCAGAGCAATATAGTTTAATTTTATTTCGCAGATCTTCGCTAATTAATTTTTAATATCTTCTCAACTACCTCAAAATAACGCCTGATTCTGTTAACTAGATATTAGATAAATAATCGCCACTCAGCATTGAGCGTCTATGAATTATACCGGCTGGAAACTAGCCATGCCACCATAAGATCTTTCTGGCATGCCACATTAGATAAAATGGGGTGTTGAACTCCCTTACGACTTCAGTGCACAACATAATCTACCCCTTCCTTCCTTCCAAACAGGGGTCCATCCCAGTCGTTTCACCTTCTTATTCATTTTACAAACAATAAAGCGCCTGCACTTGTTCCATGCGGGATTCCAACCCGCAGCCCTGCAGCGCCGCGGCTAAAAAACAGTCGTAATTTGTGGCTGTAAGTCATTTCAGAGTTTGTATTATAATCATCATGACAGCCTATCAAAAGTCCACTGCTGAACATAGGTCTCTCTGATAGATTGCACGCGGGTTGGTCACCACAGTTTATTATTATATTTATAGTTGTTATCAGGAGGATGCTGCTACCAGTCTCCTATATCATTTCCCTCTATCATCTGCCCCAAAGCTGTTTGCCACATTAAAATTAAAAAGAAAAATTCAAATAAATTATTATTTTCACAGGACTGGCAATAGTCTGCTATCAGTGCAACAGTCATAACGACTCGCGATGTCTCCTGGATAAATTACCAGACTCCTTGAGGCAACCCTGCAGCGGACCCAAGGACACCATGTGCCGAAAGATCATCCAGGTTGTGGAATTCGAGATGAATGGCATGCCGCCCGACAGCCGCGTCATCAGAGGCTGTGGGTGGGACGAGAGCAGCTATAAGGTAAAATAAGAAAACCTGTTGATGATTTCATTTATTACATTACGTATTTGACAGTTTTAAACATTATGATAACTTCCAAATACTGTCGGATAGTACTTTAAAGGTCAAAAGCATTTTAAATGCGCAAGAGATATCATAAAGAACCATTATAATTCAAAGTGACAACCATTATTTACTGCGCTGCGTGTCTAGTTTTGAGCTATGTTAAAAGTTTCTAGCTCATCGGGAAGTTAGCTTTAGGTAAATTGAAAAATTTGTACCGAACGTATGTTCGGTACAAATTTTTCAATTTACCTTTTAATTTGTATAAATAAAGAAACAGACAAATAAGAAAATATATTGCGTTGTCATTCAGTTTTAAGCCACATTTTAAGTTTGAAATCTCTTTGAGAAGTTTTATATCGATTGAAAATTTTATATCAAACAGAGAAACTATGAAAAAAAAAACATGCGTGAGTGTCGTGGAACACTCGGTTAGAACGAAGTTCCTTTCGTAGTATATTATTAATGAGAAACGTATTATATTATTGATCAACAAAATAAATACAAATCAATGAATTACTAGCGTCTATTAAAATGAAGCGTCATTTAAAATTAAAATAAAAGTTCCTTTCGTAGTATATTATTATTAATAAACGTATTATATTATTGATGATTAACAAATACAAACAAATAAATAATACGAATAAAAAATGTTTGCACACTATGACGCAAGCTCCCATCCGCCAAACCCTGTACCGTCCGATAAGGAACTTCGTTCCAAAAACCTGTAAATAAAAACCAACTTTATTAAGGAATTTATTACGCGTATTGATTTATTGTCTCATTTGACATTCCCATTTGACATAGTTGCCACGTTTAGCAGATGGAGTGTTAACTGCATTTTTTAATTATTGGGAGTCGTTATCAAGAAGATGTTGTTGCCCATCTCTTGTTTCATTCCCTTCTGTCATCTTTTACGACGCCCATGTGATGATATTGGATAGATTATTGTCAAAGGCTGCCAATAATCGGCGTTATTACGTGTAGTGACAGATATTCTGGCAAAATATCTGTCCAAAACCCATGAATACGAATTTTCGAGAATGGTGGCTGGGAAAGGAGCACTACCAGTGCAAAGTTATTGATTGGTTATTGGTTCACCTGCCCGCGTAGTGAATATAGGCATATCATCCCATAATGCTTGCTAGTTATTTTTAATTTTTAAAAGTAGACCTCTCTCTCGGTACGTGGTAGAGCCATGCTGCAGGCTCGACCCGATAAGGACCACGCGCTCACAGAACTGTACTGTAATATGATGACTGTAGAAACGAGGCATTCTGTCGTAGTCCTCAGTAGTGACAAATCATCTGCATTTTGATTCTTAATCGAAGATAGATGTAGATGTCTATGGACGATGGATGTATAGCATCTACATACCATCAGGTTTACTGTGTGCTCGTTTGTCACCCTTATTCTATAAAAAAAAGTCAGTTGATGTTGATACCGCCATCAATCGGGAGCGTTACGAAATGAGACCAGCGACGTTTGCACAAAATTTCTCTGTGGCATTCTTTTTTTTTTTTTTACTAGTCAACTTTTGACTGATTCAAAGACGTTTGATTCCTATCCGCAAGTTCTGACTCTGTACTCTGGTATCGGTAATATTGATGGAAAGATATATAATTTAAAAAGAAAATTTAATTATTCTGTTTTGCTTTTTAAGATATATTACATGAAATTATTTTTTTCCACAGGGTCGTTGCTACCAGCGCTCTGGTTTCGGCGGTAGACAGGAGGTGTGTTCATGTTTAGAGGACGGCTGCAACTCTGCTTCTGTTCCCGTTGGTGCCACCGCATTAATGTTGCTCACGTTCGCACTACTAAAGGTCTAAGGCATAGCTGATCCTATAGTTACACATGTTAAGAATCCTACTCTATTAATGTTTTTGTTTGTAAATCGAAGTGAATTTGAAGTAGTCTGCAAATGATATAAATAAAGATATTGGTAATCTAGACAAAGGATGTGTGAATGAGACAACCTTGAATGTAACATTTAAGACCGTTGTGTTCTACATTAAAGCGTTAACAGATGTTAATCAAATTAGCAACGGCTTGCATGAAGTTAATTGTCACAAGAATTTGTAACACCCCTTGAAAATTATCAACGCATTAATTGTAATGATTCCAACGAAGCTTTACCCACTGCTAAAAGTGTGTTAGTTATTGTAAATCTAGATCTAGAAGGTCTTTATTGTTGTGTTTGAAAGTTATGGATGTATTTATTAAAAGTTTTTAATGAGATCGCCTTTAATTTTCTACCTGATATCCTGTTGATTTTTTATCAATGTTATTAACATCGCCGTCACTGAAAGCGTTTTATAACCCATTGCTAAATGTTCTTCCCTATACAAGACTGCCCTGTTGTTCTAGTGGTTCCATGCTTGGACCCCCGGGTACGGCTAAAATCAGTTACTGAGTTTTTCTATTAAGCAATTTTTGGTAGCAGCCCGGAGTCAGGTAGTTTGCCGTGTTTCACTCCCGTGCCTTGGAAAGCACGTAAAGCTGGTCTTGCGCCTGATCTCTCTCCAGTCGTGTCGTATTACCAGTCTAGCTATGTTCTGTAGGCTGTAGTATTAACGTCCCATCGGACTATGACAGTGAAGGAATAGATAGTGCACCTGTGCTTGGGCATACACTCGGGCACTATAATCTTGGCGGTTAATCTACATTGAGACTGGTTCTGATTCTGGAGGACATTATTTTACTTCCCAATGCCATAACCTGTATCAGTTGTTGGAATTTGAGTTATTCCAGATTGCTTGATATTGTTATAAAAGTTTCACCTGTAAAGATTTGAACGATATTGAGCAAAGTAATAAATCTAAAACGACACGCTATTCGATTGTAATCAAACTAACGAAACAAATTACAAACTTCCTTTCAGCTGTGAACAGTACAACGAGGCTCGTCCTGTCTCCTTGTATTCAGTGAATCGGTAGACCCGCTAACCGTTAACATATATACATGATTTATGTCAGACGTAGACCTAGGTAGCTCGCCTTTGCTTCATTTCAAAAGTGCTCGTGTCAGACAGTCAAACGTTGTAACAGAGTGACACGAAGATGGACAGCTCAATAATAAATTTCCTATTAATTTGCGGATTTATCGGATATGGTACGTCAGTATTGTTAATTTATATTTCTTTGTATTAACAACTAAACATTTTTTTTTGTATTTTTAAAACATGAATTTTAAGCCGGGCAATATTTGAGTTCGAGGTAAAGAGAGAAAGAGGTTAAAATTGCTATTGGTGTACCTACTTTTTTATTACATATTGGTGACAATACGGTATACGCGGTAGAGTCATGCTGCAGCTATATTAGAAGTATAGTTCTAGTACGAATGGGTCGGCTAGGCCGGGGAAGGGCCACGCTCTCACAGAATACCAGCGTAAAATAGCAGCTTAACACTGCTGTGTTTCGTATGGTGAGTACAGAGAACCGAAGACCCTTTTTACTGGAAAAGAGTCATTCTGTCTTAGTCCTCACGGGTGACAACGCATCTGCATTTTGATTATTTATTGAGGATAATTGTAGATGTCTATGGGTCACAGTAACCACTTACCATCAGGTGGACTGTGTGCTCGTTTGTAATCCTGAACCTATAAAAAAAATGTTATGACTGACCCACGAATGGTTCGACTCGACCGGGCAAATTCACGCTCTCACAGAACATCAGGATAAAATTGTAGCATGATACTGTTGATCTCGTATAATGAATGAATAGATCCAGACCTTTTTACTGGTAATGAGTAATTCTATCTCAGTCCTCAGGGGAAACGACTCATCTGCATTTTGATTCTTAATCGAGATCTTAAGATTGATCTTAATTGAGGATAAATGTAGGTGTCGATGGATGACAGGATTTGCTTACCATCAGGTAGGCTGTGTGTATGCTCGTCACCCTTACTCCTATAAAAAAATTTACCCTTGACTGATATGTTGATATGCGATAAAATTTGAAGGTAAGATGGCAAGGCAAGGTGCAATGTTAATGGAATGGAAACAAACAGATTAGATATAACCCACGTATACCTGGTAGAGCCATGCTGCAGCTATATTAGTAATATAGTTGTAGCACGAATGGGTCGGCGCGACCGGGGAAGGACCATTCTCTCACAGAATACCAGCGTAAAATAACAGCTTGACACTGCTGTGTTTCGTATGGTGAGTGTAGAGAATCGGAAACTCATTTTACTGGAAAAGAGGCATTCCATCTTAGTCCTCACGGGTGACCACGCATCTGCATTTTGATTCTTTATTGAAGATGGTTTACAGCAACCACTTACCATCAGGTGGACTGTGCGCTCGTTTATCACCCTATCCTATAAAAATATTGGTGTTTTTGCACATAATATGCTAGCTAGAGATACAATGAACACAGGTACAAAGTGTCGGTCGGATACAATCGATCACTGTGGCCAGTTTCAACGGACATTTAATCAACTGAGCAGGACGTGTTTATAGTGACGTGTGTGCTCAAGCACAGGTGCACTCCCTTATTCTCATAGTTCGATGAAACGGCAAACCGACAGACTTGACAGATCAGACGTAGGATCAACAACTTTACATGCTTTTATTTAAAATCTGTGCGGCTTTTTGAAGATCGATCTTTTGTTTCGGGGTTTGTTTTTTAATTTTTATTTAATTATCGTTCAAAATTTCGAAGTCCGCAACACACTATAGCATCGCGGCGGCTATGTTCTTCAATAACTCTCTCAGAAATGGGACGAGGCCTGTGCCTAGTCTTTTATAAGTAAACTGCTTAACAGTTCATCTCATGATAATACTTTACATAATATACCGAATAACTGACGCATTAGGAATGTCCCAACAAAACATTAATTTTATAATTTAAAATTCTGTACAACCGACTTTAATATAAGTTATTAACAATAATTCAAAAACTATTGGTCTGACCTTGATCAAATTCATACGGGACCACACGAGAAGTATCAGCTTTCATATAAAAAAGGATCATCGAAATCGGTTCACCCAGTAAAAAGTTATGAGGTAACTTACATAAAAAAACATACAGTCGAATTGAGTACTGTCTCCTTTTTGGAAGTCGGCAGAAAATGGACCCAACTTCGGTACAAACTCAGTTCAGGGTTGTCAGTTTCGCCGATAAAAGAGTTCAAATCTGAACAAGCGCCAAGCTCAAGTACAATACTTGAAACTAATTGTACCAATAACTTTGTCAATACCAAATAACATCAAATATCTATAATTTGTATTTTTCTGTTTTTTTCCTTTTTATAAGCCTAAACAAAATGATAAAAGACCAACGGTTGCCAAGCCGCCTGCCAATAGTGTCAACTATGGCAAAACCACTTTGATATGCTGTTATGAATGAATGAATGAATGAATGAACTGTACGAAACACAACAGTATCATGCTGATATTTCGCGTCAGTATTGTTATCGTGGTCCTTCCTCGGTTGAGCTGTAGCGTGGCTCTACCACGTATAATACTATGTGAATCTGACTACACGTTTATTTTCCTTTAATATAGTACTTAAGTATTTTTTTTATAAAGCCTTTTCCATGTAACTTTCAGGTTCCGCAATAATGTGCTATGAATGCAACAGTGCCTTAAATTCCTTCTGCAGTGAGGCAGAGCTCCCAGACAATTTGAAGATTAACTGCTCGGAGCACGATCGAGGTGTCAAGCACACGCTATGTAGGAAGATCGTACAGTACGTGGACCACGCAGTAAACGGGAAACTACCCGAGAGTAGGGTCATACGGAGCTGTGGATGGGACGAAACTAGATACAAGGTTCGAATGCAAAATACTAGAACTTGGATAGGTCCATCTTTAGTTCTTTTGAAGTGAACATTTCATTAATAACAATGATGATACCCACAGTACACAGAAAGATTAATAATTTATTGAAAAAAAGGTCGACCTGCAATTGATACAATTTAACATACTAAATCTAAATATATAATAAAGTCTTATACTAATTCCACAATTACTTAAAGGTAAACACCGCTAAACCATAATTAAAATCAAATAATGAAAATAGTAATGATTTCTTATATTTACGCGAACACTACATATTGAATAAAACTATTTTTACGGATTTTATCGCGTTTAATTAACTTATTTTATATTCCCGACGTTTCGGTTGCTTTCCAGCAACCGTGGTCACGGGGGACTGAGGTGATTGACGTCCCGATGTCAAAGTTAACCCGGAGTACCTTCAGCTTTTTAATTATTAATTTTGGTCCGATCTACGCAGAATGAACTAACTGTGTCTTGAAGTCTTGCAGTGGTATGCTTGGGTTTAGTTTTAATTTTATGAATTACAGGATCCCAAGCAGGTGGTAGTACCCAGCCTCCCTCTCTATTGAAATTAGGATGTTTTTTAATTTCAATAGCCTCATCCTTGGCAGGAATCGATGTTCTTTCGCGAGGACTTGTGGCTTGTGGAGACTTCAAGACACAGTTAGTTCATTCTGCGTAGATCGGACCAAAATTAATAATTAAAAAGCTGAAGGTACTCCGGGTTAACTTTGACATCGGGACGTCAATCACCTCAGTCCCCCGTGACCACGGTTGCTGGAAAGCAACCGAAACGTCGGGAATATAAAATAAGTTAATTAAACGCGATAAAATCCGTAAAAATAGTTTTATTCAATGAAAATAGGTTATAAAAAGTCGATGATTCTATTGAACCTGGAAATTTCTGAATCCATTTATACATTCTTTACAGCCCATAAAAGTCCACTGCCGAAAAAAGGTCTCCTCTATAGATTGCTTCATTGAGAGGACTTTACCTTAGTTGCCACGCTCGGGAAGCGGGTTAGCAAGCACAGTGTTTTATATATGAAGGTACTGTTGGCCATCTCTTCTTTCAGTTTCCCTCTGTCGCCTCTTACGACACCCACGGGATTATGGGGTAGTGGATATTCTTACAAAGCTACTACAAGGTTCAAAATTTTAGAATCTAAATACTTATTTATAACATTGTAGTGACTATATGTTATTTTGGAATTTGTTAATGATAACCTTGGTTAAGTGGGAACTGAGATGTTCATTGTTCTGAATAACATCATACGTCATATAAGCAATTGATATCGATATACATATCATATATGTGAATATCAGTTACCTCGGGAATGTTATCTGATGGTGAAGTATTATTACAGGGTGCGTGCTATCACCGAGCAGGATACGGTGGCCGACAGGAAGTCTGCTCATGTACAAGCGACTTCTGCAACAGCTCGCAGGAGTTGAACATATCTGCGGCACTCCTAATCACGACTCTGCTCTTTTACTCCTGTAAAATTATATGCGAATAGATACTGAAGAAAGATTTAAGTCGGTATGAATTTTGTCTGTGTTATTCTTAGATAAATATATATTTATTATCATTATTTGTATTATTTTACTACATATAATGCACAAAGTTTTCAAATTTTAATAAGATTGATATACAAATTATTGTAAATATACAAAACCTACCCACTAAATAGATGGGTTGACTGATACAGAACGCTTTTAGGCATTTTTAAAACGTGGTAGAACCATGCTGCAGCTATATTACTGGTATATTTGTAGCATGAATGGGTCGGCTCGGCCGGGGAAAGATCACGCTCTCACGGAATACCAGCGTAAAGTAACAGCTTAATACTGCTGTGTTTCGTATGGTGAGGATAGAGAACCGGAGACCCTTTTTATTGGAAACGAGGCATTCCATCTTAGTCCTCACAGGTGACAACTCATCTGCATTTTGATTCGTAAACCAGGATAGATTTAGATGTCTATGGGTCACAGCGACCACTTACCATCAGGTGGACTGTGTGCTCGTTTGTCACCCTTATGATATAAAAAAAAGGCATTAAGTCCGCCCTTTGTATCCTCTATTTTCTAAGGGAATGCAATAAAGATTTATAAATAAATAAATGCTAGCTTCCACTCATAGACAAATGCTTAGGAGTGAAGATAAATCTTAAATGCCACAGATTAAATAATAGCTTGAGCCTTTTTTTTAGGATAAGGGTGACAAACGAGCACACAGTCCACCTGATGGTAAGTGGTTGCTGCGGCACATAGACATCTACATCTATCCTCTATTACAAATCAAAATGTAGATGCGTTGTCACCCGTGAGGACTAAGATGGAATGCCTCATTTCCAGTAAAAAGGGCCTCCGGCCACCTGCACTCACCAAGCGAAACGCAGAGGTAAACCGCTACTTCACGCTGGTTTTCTGTGAGGTCGTGGTACCACCCCGGTTCGAGCCGGCCCATCCGTGCGACAGCAAAAGCTACCGCGTGGCTCTACCACTGTTAAAAAAAGCCTTATTGTGAAAGAAACAAAATTCAATAGAATTTTTTTACTAAACATAAATAAAACTTATACGTGGTAGAGCCACGATCCAGCTATATTATGGTTGAAACAGGAATAGGTCTGCTCGACCGGGGAAGAACCACGCACTTACAGAATACCAGCACAATTTAGCAGCTTAATGCTCCTACGTTTCGTATGGTGAATGTAGAGAACCGAAGACCATTTGTATTGAAAAAGAGGCATTCCATCTTAGTCCTCAGTGGTGACAATGCATCTGTATTTTGATTTTTAAACGAGGCACTTGTAGATGTTTATGGGCCACAGCATTCACTTAACATCAGGTGAACTGTGTGCTCGTTTGTTACAATTATTCTATAAAAAAGTTTTACCAATCTGCAAGTATGTCCCGTGTCTAAGTTCTACGATGACTTCAGTGCCGAATTTCATTGTCCGTTCAGCGATTGAAGCGTGTTTATAGGACAAATATCCAAACAAACAAACTTTTACATTTATATAAATTTAGTAAGATTATTTTGCACGTTGTGAAGGCGTAAGACAACCTCCTATTTCGTCCCATGGGTGTCGTAAACACGGGAAATGCCATAAAAAACTTATGACTTCCTATAGATGGAGGTACAAACATCTTTTTTTTATATAAGAGGGGGCAAACGAGCATGCGGCTCACCTGACGGTAGGTAAGTGAGAAAATTTTATGGCAGACGTATAATATCTAGGCTGGAGACGAGCAGCAGTGACAAAGGTGCAAAACGTCTGCTACTGCTACTGTTGGCGTGACAAAGTAAATCTTCCCGACTTTACAGAGCTAATAAAACGGAGCTGTGGATGGGACGAAACAAGGTTCGAATGCAAAATACTAGAACTTGGATAGGTCCATCTTTAGTTTTTTTGAAGTGAACATTTCTTTGATAACAATGATGATACCAACAGGACACAGAACTATTAATAATTATATAATCAAGGTTGGGGACCTTCTAGCGTATACCACACACGTATGGGGAGAAGCACTCGAGAACAGTGGGGAAGTAGTGGGCCTTTGACAGAGTTTGGCACAGCTTTTGGGTAAGCTTCCGACGTACGGTCTATCCCCTGGTCCTATTAAATGGGTAAAGGACTTTCTTAGTGAACGGTCTATCCGAGTCGTCGTCGATGGATGCCTATCCGATCCTATGGCGACTAACGCCGGTGTTTCTCAGGGGTCCATTCTCTCCGCGACTCTCTTCCTGCTGCATATTAATGATCTGCTCATATATCACATGATAGCACAGTTGTGGAGAGATACTAACCAAGCCCTCGGGTCAGTCGGGATCAAATCTAGTCCGGAAGAAAAGATATGGTAGAGCGTGTGAATATCACACTACAGTCAGTCTCCGATTGGGGCGATGCCAATCTTGTGAAATTCAACGACTACAAAACATAAGCGTGTCTCTTCACTGCAAAAAGGAGTCAGCTCACCTTGGCTCCTTCTTTCCGAAATGTATCACTGGAATATTCTGATCGCCTTCAGTTGTTAGGGTTTGAGATATCCTCAAATATGAACTTCGGGTGGTTTAAGCAGCTGAAGGGAAGCTAGAAGTCCTTGCAAAGGTGCGGTGATACTTCACGCCGGAATACCTGCTTACTTTATATAAAGTGCAAGTCCAGTCGTTCATGGAGTATTGCTGCCATATATGGGCTGGTGCTACAAAATACCACTTAGCAGATTTGAACCCATTGGAAAGGCGTACTAAGAGGCTTATTGGTGACCCGAATTTGGTTAAAACCAATCTTAGCAGCCTCAAACGTAGACGCAATGTAGCCAGCCATTTCGGTTTTCTACAGGATGCATTTCGGAGAGTGTGCGCAGGAATTGCGTAATTTAATTCTTCCCTCTCCCTTTCCACCATCGGACAACCAGACGTTCGGCCAGTCTCCACGCTTTCGTTGTTTACTTACCACGCATTCGAACCAAACGGTTCGCTACATCGTTCATCATGCGTACAGCAAAGGACTGGAATAAGTTGTCGGCATCTGTCTTTCCATTCGATTACAGTGTGGGTGTCTTCAAGGCAAGAGTGAATAAGCTTTTGTTAAGTCTACAGCACCACTTACCATCAGGTGAGATTGCAGTTAAGCGCTGGCTTAGTAGAATATTTTTTTAAAAAGTTGGTGATTCTATTGGACCTACCTACTATTCTATTGAAACTAAAAGAAATAGAATCTTGCAAGGTTAAGTCACGTGTAGGTATTGAATTTGAATCTCTGGTGGATATATTTACTTCTGTGTAATAACATAATTTGTTGGTCTTCGAGTCTGTATTGTGATTGCGTCCATGTCGCTGACTTTGCATCCTAGTATATTTTTGACCACTAGTGGCAGTGTTAATATATCCAAGAAAAAGGCGAAGAGGGAATCAAACCAGGAGATGGACAACAGCGTCTTTTTAATAATAACCAGAAAACAAAAAATGCGGTTGGCAATCTGTATGCCGATTATGGCAACTATGACAAATATCTCACTTAGTAAGCAATGTATGGGCCTCCTATATTTAGCGATGGACTTTGATAGCCTGTAATGAATGAAATACTTCTAATGTTACCACTAAAGCGGTAAGCTTACAGATATTTCATCCATATGAAGAAGACAAGTGATGAGAATAAAAAAATATTAGCGCGGACTCTTGTGGCACTAAAGCGCGGAAAGTTTGAAGGGGATCGGAGACTGAAGTATCACTCACGACATTTTGTTTTATAAAAGTGTTATTTGACAAGCGAATACCAGTGTAAAATAGCAGCTTAACACTGCTGTGTTTCGTATGGTGAGTGTAGATAACCGGAGACCCTTTTTACTGGAAAAGAGGCATTCCATCTTAGTCCTCACGGGTGACAACGCATCTGCATTTTGATTCTTAATCGAGAATAAATGTAGATGTCTATGGGCCAGAGCATCCACTTACCATCAGGTGGACTGTGTGCTTGTTTGTCACCCTTTTTCTATAAAAAAAACACAGCAGTGCACGCATTGCTGTTGGCAGCAACAATCTGTGAGAGAGTGGTACCTACCCTGACGGAAGACGGACTCCTTGGTAGAAAAGGAGTCACCAAGACTCTTTTAATCATTTCATCTGAATGTTACGTCATTGTGTCTGAGCAATCCCGATTCGGACCCCGCCGGCACCAATGAAATTGTTAATTGCAATTTTTAGCGCTGATTTACCACCTACTCGACGGTGAAGGAAAACATCGTGAGGAAACCTGCATGTCTGAGAAATAAGAAAAAAAAATACATACAATACATAGTTTTTAGGTCAAGGACATATCCTTGCCCTAAACACCCTCTCAGATATATTAGGAAGCCTGTGCCCAGCAGTGGGACATATATAGGCTGAAATTTAACTTTAACTTTAGTGTTATATTGAGTAAAGAACAAAATTATACTTCAATAAAAATATATTTAGACGACGAGGGCGGCTAAAAATTGATCGTTTAGATTCGATAGATTTAGGGATTGTCGGAACTGCTTTATACGACCGTTGACATATTATCATGCATCAACCATTAGTCAAATAGGTGGTACGTGTAGTTACGTTGTACGCCCCCTGAAAAATGTAGTATTCAGAGGCTTTACATTACTAGATTTTACATTTATGTAACCTCTAGCGTATTATATGAATTCAATAATTAACTGTTTACTGGTATTTAGTAATGGTAATAACTCAAATGATTTTGAATTTATACTAACTTTGCAGTTTATGTGAATCTAGTTTTTACATATTCAAATTTATCATTAAGCTCAAAATTTTAAAAGATTAAGATTTGTTGTTGTATATGTAGGACCCGAAGTATAGCTATCTCATTAAAATTACTGTATGAGGTAAGTATTGGATGCAGAAAATAAAATATCAGGTAAGCTTAAAACTGTATAACTGAAAACTCGCTGCTGAAGATAATGATCATAATAATAATGAAAAATATAATGGAAATATAAAATTAATTACTTCAAAGATGAAGGATTATACTTTTGGCAATTATTATGTTGAATCTGATATTATAGAATATGCATAAATTATTATATAAAATTATAATTATATAAAGTAGAAAATTTTCACAACAATAACTTTTGAAGTGAAACTTTGTGAAGATTCCATTTTATAGACATTGGCAGTTATGTCACAACTGAAAAGTAAAATTCAAATGACACTTACAAAGAAACAAATGAACAAGATCATATGGTTGGTTTTAATTATTTGGCAAGTCAGACATTATTCAGTGAAAATCTAAGATCAACGATGATTTTAGAATTTTAAAAACGCATTATTTAGAGAATAAGAAAGATAGAGCATCACAGAGTCTAAATCGAGTAAAATCATTTCGATTAATACATAAGAATAAATACAGTTTTAAAGTACCATTTTTTGACGGCCAAGTTGGCTTTTAGTAGGTGATAGACACAAAAATTGGACAATGTTCTGAGAGTAAGCGGACCTCCTGAATAGGGACAAGGAGATTGAAGAACGGTCAGTACTCGTACATAAGGTCATCATAGTAATTTTTAAATTCTTTTCAATTATACGTAGCTAATTAAAAAGAAAGAAAATCTTCAAGACGTAATCAAAGAAGTAAACATGTCTCCTAAACAAGAATTTCAATAGGAACATTTAATTTTAATAGCTAAAATATTTATTGAACAGTGACCATCTAGATCTTACAGAAATTGTCAAAGCCAAAATTGCTGTAATACCGTAAATTATTTTCATTATTTGAGAATCAACAATTAAGTGTTACATTCAAATATTTAACGTCAGTTATTAAAATGCGCTTTATAAATCTTTTAGAGGCTCATACTTTATATGAAAATAAAATTTATAATAACGAATTTCGGAATGATTTTAAGACATTAGAATTTCCAGTTGGATATGTTTCAGTTGTCATTCATATATTTCTAGATGTATTTGGTCATGCTTTGCTGTGTCTCAAAAAGTTTTTCAAAAAGTTTGTCGTTTTAAGTATTTCCTTCCAATCGAGACTTAAGGCTATGTTGATGTGAACACATATTTTACTGGTCAGTTTTACTCTGATGTAATCTATATTGATACGATGATCGTCTGCTCACTAACTACATCCGTTTTATTTTCGGTCTTTGTTAATACGATAATGGATCATTATATCGTTCTAAACTTAATTGGCTCCCTATCCGTCAGCGTAGATGTATCAAATTCTTCGCACGCTATTTCGACTGTCCATGCACGCCCCAATATGTATTAGAAATGCAAGTTTAGGTATTTGGGGTCTTCTCACGATCATAACCTACGATCTTCTGAGGGAACTACTTATGTGTTTTTTACGCTGCACCAAATTTGTTTCTTAGTCTTTCATCGCTGGGGCCATAAGGCTTTGGAATAAATTACCTCCACATGTTAGGAAACCGATTTCTACTGCTGCCTTTAAGGGAATGCTGTTTATCAAGTATAGAGTATATTTTGTAGGTCATTTGTGGTAATATATATTTAAGTAAGTGTATTTATATGTTTGTTCTGTATGTTTTTATATTTAAATTTATGTAAATATATTTTTATTTTTTATGACACCTGCTTAAGTTTCTCTGCATAGACTGCTATAGAATGCCTAAAGGAATTAAATTCGCAAATTGTACGATTTATGTGCAATAAAGATTTTTTAAATAAATAAATAAGAATAAAAACACGCGCGTATTTGAATATATCGTTTGCTCAAAATTTCAAGGGAATCGGTGAGTAACTTTCGGAGATTTAAGATTTTGAACAAACGAACATTTACAATTTTAATTTTTATAGTTGATTTACTTAAGTTACAATGTTATAAACAATTTTTCTTACTGTAGAAAACTATTAGTAAGAAAATCGTAATATACAATATAAAATACATACAAAAGTTATCATCATTATCATCATCATCATGACGGCCTTTCACAAGTCCCCTGCTGAATAATGACCTCCCCCAAGGAATGCTACAAAACTGGAGCCTGAGTCACCTGCATCCATCAACTTTAAGCATAAAAGTCTTACCAGCTCTACACTTAGCTGACCAGTAGATATTCGAGAGCCTTTCTTCCCCGTCGGTTTTAGTTCTTCGAACGATATGCCTAGGCCATGGCCACATCAAATCCCATTTTATTTTACCCAAATCCCTATTGTTACATTAATACTTGAATGGTCTAAGCATTAATAGAATACAAAAAAAAAAATAATGCCTTACATGTGTTGAAATAGCTAGCTAATAAGTTCATTTAGTTATTTGCATAGCATAATGTCTTATGGAATCTTGCTATGGGGTAATGCGACTGACATTGAAACTATCTTTGTTTTGCAGAAGAGAGCCATAAGAGCAATTTATAACTTAGGTCCGAAGGAATCCCTTAGAGAAAAATTTAAAGAAATAAATATTTATATTAAGTTTGGGTAAAATATCTACACAGAAACAAAAATATTAAAAATAGTGATGTCCATTCTGTAAATACTAGTCCTAGTCCCGCTGGGTTTCTTGCTGGTTCTTCCCAGGACAGAGGTATTTTCTGAACCAGTGGTGAAAGTAAAAAATTACTTGCATCAATAAGAATTACATGTAGGTAATCTAATAAATATTGAATAAAAATTATTCTATTCTATGATAGCCGGAATATCATTATATTTGTTGTATAATAGTGTCCTCCAGACCGAATTTCCATCACGGCGACCAGCCTCAACGGAGACTAACCATCGGCGCAGGACCAAGTGTATTCTCTATTCCCTCGCTCTCATACTCTGATGGGAGGGTAAACCGACACGACCGGAGAGAGATCAGGCGCAGGTCCAACGGCTTTACGTGCTTAATTAAATTAATTGTTGTATAAAGCAGCAGTTCAAAGTGTATATAATGGCTGATTTACACAGGGTCATTAACTGGCTCCGAATTCCAGACAAGTAAGTGCTGACCCGCTACTGGCACAACCTAAATTGATTTGGAGTCAGTATAGCACTGTCGCGCCAGTGCCGACTTCAATATACCTGCATGAATAGAATAGAATAGTATCATTTTTATTCGATATAGATCATAGTACATAATACTTATTGAAATTCATTTTTTACTTTTACCACTGGTTCCCAAAAAAACCCTCTGTCCCGGGAAGAACCAGCAAAAAACCCAGCGGAAATTACAATATAATATTTTATACAATTATTATGAAAACATTTAGAAACAGCATGGTGGTGATCACCTCACTTCATTGGTTTCAATTGTCATTGGTCTCATTATCAGTCAAAATATTTGTCTTAAGTCTTGAATATTTCAAAGTCAGTCTAGTACCCCTGCCACCATCCATTTTCTTATCCAAAGTAGTTTGTTTTTAAATACCCCTTCTTGTAAAATTTCCATCAACTCTTTCAACAGCAGATAGGAACATTTACTCAACAAATATTTCAATTATTGTAAATTCTGCCGTTTTCATGAATTCATTTTTTCCCACTGACTGCAATAACGTGCGTACACCGTCAAGAAGTTATCACGACTACTGACTGCGTGTAAACAGTGCGAGTCAGACTTCGGCGCCAGCACTGGCACCTGTTACTGATCCCGTGTAAATCAACCTTTATAGAGAAAGTAGAATTGTTGAGGAAAACATTTGCTTACATGTGGGATATATAAATAGACTATTTGTCTGGATATCATTTTGCATGGGCTAAATTGACTGCTCAGCGTCAGTTGAACGGCGAGTTTGTAATTTTTATATTACACTACTGTTTTACTATATTAAAGTTTAAATGATTTTGTATTTCTGAGCTCTGTCTCATTATGATCGTACTTTACTTGTGCCTTCGGATAAATGTGCAATAGAAATGTATGAAATATACTATTATGGTTGTACCACGAGAAGGTCGGTTCGACCAGGAAAGGACCACGCTCCCACAATAAGAGCAGCTTAACGCAGCCCCTTTTTACGAGACAGAGGCATGCCATCTTAGTTCTCAGGGGTCACAACGCATCTGCATTTACATTCTTGATGAAGGATAGATGTAAATGTATATAGGCCACAGCATCCACTTAACATCAGGTGGACAGTGTGCTCGTTTGCCGCTCTTATTCTATAAAAAAATAAAGAGAAATTTGATGTGTCTCATTTGCTATCGATTTATCACATATTCGGTACGCTTCATCTTTTGTGATGCATTCGTACATGTGAAATAATTGGCAAGTGTCTTTCTATCCGATAATTATGTGCGTAACTTCAAGGAAAGTATGAATTTGGTTTTGTTAATCTAAGCGACGAACTGGTAAGACATGTAGGAAGTCGATGTATGCAGGTAGCTCAGCACCGTGTTTTGTGGCATTCCTTGGGGAACGCCTATGTTCAGCAGTGGACTTTTGAAGGACTGTCTATCTATCTCTCTCGTCTAATCTATTGTATCATAAGAGACATGAATTGAATTTACAGTACTTTCCAAGCCAAATGCAAGAATATGGTAGCGATGGATCAAGTAAGCCAGGTGAAAACCGTGGTGGGAAAGCTGACAATGGAAAGATCACGCAGAACCAAGCCGAGGGCTATCAGGCGCAACCGCATCAGTACTCTTTGATGTCGCAGAAGAGTTTTAGTAAGAATTATTTTATAATAGTTTTATTTTAATATTTACTTTTATATATTTCATCGTAACGTGTGGTGGTGATGGTGAAAGAATATCCACTGGCCCATATCGTCTCGTGGGTGTCGTAAGAAGCGATAGAGGGAAACAAATCAGGAGGTTGGCTGTAGCGTCTCTTCAAAACAAATAGAAAATAAAAAACTACGGTTGCCAAGACACTTGCCAAGCATGTAAACTATGGCAAATATCTAAGAGCTTATTTCTTGCGTTCGGACTTGTGCCGACCTGTCATTCAAAATCGGTTACAGATTCATGAGATTTGGTATGCTTTTCTATCTTGCATTTTTGCCATAATGCATTTTCTTCTCCCTTGCACACTACGTCGGTCTATACGCCAGTATATTCTAAGTCTGTGGTATGTATATTGGTCCGGCGATATTTAGTTTGGTGGGTTCGTAGAAACTTACTCCGTAAGAGTAACAGTGCTCTATGAAAATTAATAAGGGAGATCCCTTATGGGGCAATCTGCGGAAGAGGCCTGTGTTCAGCAGTGGCTGAAATTAATGAATTAATTATATATTATTTTATATTTCTTCTATCAATTAAAAGTAACAGACTATATAAGTCACGTGGCTGTGGAAAGGTATCTTCAAATTTCAGAGTAGGTTTTTGGAATAAGGAAGGGTCCGCTAAAATTTTAAAACAGAACAACAATCATTCTAATATTTAACAAATGCCAATCTCTCTTGTTGTTTTTATAAATTTGAATGAAGTTTTCGGCTCCGCGCTAACTAAACAGTCAACCCAATTTGGTGATTGCTTGGCTGGTAAATATGAACAGGTTTCTAGTAATGAAGAACTTTTAAGCGATACTACCAGCTGACCCCTTTTAAGATAAAAGCCTATATCACATTGGTCTGACAAAGGTTAGTGATGATGATAATGATGATTATTTTATACAAATGACTGATTCTACGCACGTCATACGACATATATATACTAGCTGGCCAGGCAGACGTTGTTCTGCCCTTTATGATTGAAAAACTTCCTATGAAAAATTCCTTAAATTCGCGATAAAAAAAATATTGAAGATCATTTATAGGGATAAAAAGTATCCTATCTATCAACTTGGACCAAACTGCACACAGTGTACAAAATTTTATAGAAATCAGTGCAATAGCTTAGGAGTTCATCGCGGACAAACAATGTGACACGTAATTTTTATATATAAAAATATATAAGAACATACGACCACAGGTTAATTTTAAATAAACTGTGTTAATTTTAAGTCGACATAGTTCCAAATCTTGAATTAAATTACTTTTATGGGTTTTATAGCGTATAATTTAGTTTGCTCTTATTTTTTAATGATTTGCCCTGTTTCGAGTGCTTTGCAGCACGTATACTCACAAAGAGGGAGTAGTTTTGTTCAATGTGTAGTGTTTGCTTAAAATTAAGTTGCTAAATCTATATACACAGCAAATAGATTTTTAGCATAATATTTCATTTTAAATTAAAAACTCAAACCATTCGAAAAATCATTTACAAAAAAACATTCTGAAGCCAAAAAATAAATTACACAAAACTATATGTATATTTTTATATAGCAATAAAGTTATTAAAAATAACATAAACACTTATTTTATAAAAATATAAAACATTCTAACACAAAATAATTATTTAACTTTAAAATTTTTAAGGTTGCCCTGGTAAGGAGCCCGAACAAAATACAGGAAATTATTTTAGAACTGCACCCGGAGCGTATGAGACTTCCTCTTCGAGCAACCAGTACCACAATCCAAGGTTAAATAGCTGCAGGAAATAACATTTAAATATAACTTCTTCAAACTTCATCTAATTTTAATAAACATTTTAGGTACAACAATCCATCGGTTCCACCGACTTTTAGTTCGCCACCCAATTCACCACTAGTAGGCTTGGTATTTGATCCAGCTTCATCCAACTATAGTGGACCTGGAATAATGACAGATCGCCTTAATTCTGATAGGCGCTCTCTAAGCTCCTGGTCTATTTCTAACCAAGAACCAATAGGAACAGGAGCAAAAAAGAAGATCGTAAAGAGTCAAGATAAAAAGAGTATTTACAATGCCGATCTTCGTTACAATGAAAGATACAAAGATAACCGAACTGAATCAGATCGAAAGAGGAAACAAGACATAACATTTGCTTCTGAATCCACGTCAAGTCTCGATTATTTTTTAGAAGGCGAAAGAATGGTTTCAGAACTATGTAACATACCCGATTCAAATGTAAGGAACGATAGTAGTGGTAGTTCAAAACAAAATATAAAGTCAAATAATCAAGAAGTTGAAAAGAACAATCGCTGCGGATCATCTGATGTTCTTTTGACAGCTATAGACAAGATTGTAATACATGATCAAATTCCGAATCAAATTGTTCAATTAGCAATTGAAGCCTGTACCGATGCTGAAAATATAGCAATCGCCCACCACAATAGACCCTGTTTTAAAAATATACATTCTATCTGTGCTAAAACTAGGTCTAACGTTCAGAAACCTGATAGTGCAGTTGCAAACTTACACTCTCAAGGCATACCGTGGGTAATTAAAAACTTTATTTTTTCCTTTGTACGAATCCTCGATGGGTGGAAAGGTGTTAAAGAATTACTCAGCGAAAAACACGACACATTTTCAAGGATTGAAAACAAGTATTACAGTCCTAATATCAGGGAATGTTTCGTGCAGTGGCAAGCAGTGACTAAAGAGATGTTGACACATATTTATAAAACATTTAAATGTTTAGATCATGGATTTACAATGGAACAGAAAAGTTTCACTCACAATTACTATGCTACAAATTCAGCTGCTCCAAGGCATCAAAATCAAAATAAATTTCAACCACCCAAGCAACATATCAGTACACCAAGACCTGTCAATGTTCCTCACCAACTTTATAATGCAATTCAACCCCCGTGGATTCAAAATCAGAATCAGATTGTATCTCAAACATTTAACGAAGTCCCGTGGCCGGCAGCGCGAACAGGAGTGAGTTATAAAAAATTTCCAGTTGTTCCTCCGCCAAATTCTCATAGTTTTTGTCCTCTAAGTGATCAAACCGAAATGGATACTAGAACTCAATTTAAATGTGATCCTTGCAATATTCGCGAAACTAAACCTAGACAGTCCTGGACCATTACAAATATGCCGGACTTCCGTGTTTTAGAAAGTATGTGTTATGCCGATCAAAGGGATTTATACAATACACTTAAACATAAAATGGATGCAGAACTTGGTAAAGCTCCTGGTCAACCTTTTTTGGGAAACATTCCAGGTGATGTTATGCAACAACGTAAAGATTTAGACCTAAAATCTAAAATGATACCATTGAGTCATGTAGAGAAAACTCTGATACCGAGCATGGCATCAACTAATGATTTGAGAGGGTGTTATGTACAGAAAAATAATAGCTGTGGTGATACAAAGGAAGAAGCTGATTTTTTTGCGGCATGGGGTCAGATGGTTCAAAAAGAACCCAATGAACTTATAACTCATCATTCTCATAACATGCAGATTCCGTCTAATGTTGTGATACCTAATAATATCTCTGGCCCCGTGCAATTTATTGATCCTGAAAATGATGAGTTTCATGAGATGACGAAAGTTTATATGAAACCTGGAAGCTACAAGGTACCTATAAAACCTGCAGATCCTATTACATCTTTCGGTGTAGGTAATCCTCAAGATGTAACGTTTGATAACTGCTTAGACGATAATAACGCAGCTCTGAAAATGAAATTACCTTTTGCACCTGTAACATTGGCGCCGCAGCCAAAATATAACATGGAATCATGGCCATGTTTAATAGCAAGACGTAATGATGATATTTCAAACGATGATCAAAAAATGCTTCCTAGAACCGTTTTGCCAGGCTTAGATTTAAGAACCGTGGAAGCCCTAGATGTTCTGAGTGCATTAACATCAGATCGCGCTTGGGAAGCTGCTAAACAGTCAGTGCCAAAATTTGTGGATCTTTTACAGGAGGATTCTAAGTCTGATACGGCTCGTTTATATGATGCTTTAAGACTTAGTGTTAGCGAGGAATATATAAATGATTTTAAGGAATCGAAAATTAAGGTTGAGCATAATGAACCCTGGTCTTCTGAATTACATGCTAACAATTTAGTATTGAAGTCTTTACCCGATTTATGGGATGCTGACAAGCTAAACTCAACACAAAGTGAATGCGCAGTTCAATCATCTCCTAAAAATGATACAACTAAGGTTCAAGAGCATGAACTAAAGTCATTTGATGGAAACGAGTCCGCAGAATTGCCTGTTAACAAAAATGCAGAATCTAAAGAGAATATTCGCTGTCCTAGTTACGACCATACTGGCAATTGCATTCGTGATGAAAATCAAAAGAAGTCTAGTGGTAAATCTAAGGTAGCTGTATCGGGCATGTGGTATCACCCTAAGAAAAAGAAACCGATATCTAATTCCATTGTTAAAAAATTCGAAATAATTTTAAAAAAGTTTTCTCAAATAAATGAGGCTACTTTTATTCAACATGACATGGACATTAAAGTGGTAAGACAAACTTTTATTGGAATAGTCGTTCGTAAATCCTCCATAACTTTAATAAATTTTGTTTTGTCTTAGGCTCCCAGGTTTTACGAGGTAGTTAAGTATCCAATGTGTCTGCATGATATATCTACTAAACTGAAAAATTCTTCATACACGGACTATGATCAAGTAGTCCAGGATTTTCGACGTATCTTTAACAATGTTAGAATGTATTTAAAGGTAATACACAAAGATTTATTTTTATTATTTTACTCTATTATTTAAATACAATGTAGTAGAGGTGACGTGCATTTCCTGTAGAAAAATGCATTTCTCCTTCGTCTTGAAGGTGTCCCAAAGATACAACACGATATGACAAATGACGAAACAATAGGCATCGGATTTATGGTACTATAATCATCTCATATATGCCAGATAGAAAATACATAACTGGTGATAGTGAGCAGAGTAACTCTAGTGGCTGCCAGCCATGGTAAATATAACACATCTTCTCCATTTATAAAAGGTCATTTGTATTTATTTACCCACTAGGCACATTATCTTCAATGTACTGCATTAGGTTGATTTTTTTATTGGATAAGGGTGACAAGCGAGCACATCTATCCTCGTTTGCGAATCAAAATACAGATGCGTTGTCAGCCGTGAGGACTAAAATAGAATACCTCTTTTCCAGTAAAAAGGATCTCCGGTTCTCTACACTCGCGATACAAAACACAGCAATATCAAGCTGCTATTTTACGCTGGTATTCTGTGAGAGCGTGGTCCTTCCCGGTCGAGCCGACCTATTCATGCTTCAACTATACAATATAGATGCAGCATGGCTCTACCACGTAAAATGTAGAATAAAAAGAAGAATGACAACATGTATTAATTTTACAGACCTACCCAGATACTACAATGAAGAAAAATGTGAATAAACTTTCAGCAGAGTTTGAAAAAATGCTTAATGATGAATTTCAAACTAAAACTGAATGCAAGTCCAAGTCTCAGGAACCTATGGAAGCTATTGAGCATAGAAAAATTGAAAAAGATAATAATAGTAAAAGTCTAGAACAGAGTAAAGACAATGTGAATAACAAAAAGGATCTAAAGTCAGGAGATACCAAAAAGTAGAACTTAGACTCATTTTTACTTGACGGAAACTGAAAAGTTGATAAAATTTACAGTATGAGGTTCATAATTTATCATTATGTAATGTTCATATTTTAGAGATGTATTTTAACGATTTTATTTATGTTTTTATTCCATATCAAGAGCTTCTTAACATTTTCGTTTGAATAATTTATCTTTATTATCTAAAGCGGAAACTTAAAAATTATACAAATATAATGGTTATTTTTTAAGATATCTATCTAGTCACTGGTTAATGTTTAAAATAAATGTCAGTGAAGTTATCAGAACTTAGAATTGTTAAGATTATTATTGTAATTTGTAAGTGCTTGCCTATTTTTCCTTTTATCTTATTTTGTTACATTTCAGGAATAGCATTGTAATATCTTAGATTTATTACACAATGTTTCGTATTTCTTCAATTACTCTTCTTTCTTTTCTAATGAACTAGATATGTCAAATGCAGGAAACAAATTTATGTTATGATCTGCAATTAACAATGATTCATTTCACTCTCGCAGCATTTTTGTACCTATATCTGTAACTACACGTGCGATATCGTTATTTCGCTTTGTATCTCTATCTGTGATCTATGTTTAGGTAAAAGTTTATAATTTGAATCATTCGTCACGCTTATTTCTCAACTATTGTGTACATGTATACGTGTATATATCAAACCACATGTATAAAAATTGAACTTTAAGTTACAAGCAAACGATATTTGGTTATTTAGATTTCGCTTTCAAATATGAAATAATATGACTCAGAGGAAGCCTAGCGCATGTCTCAAAACGTATTATTTTCAGTTTAATTCAAATGCCATTGCAATACACTTCTTCTGATTTGTTAATGCTACGAAAAAGTTTATATTTGCGTGAACGTTATTTTTTAATTCGTTTGTTCATTTGATGTTCCACATTAGTATATATAAATATATTTTTGATTCCATTTTACCTGCCATAGACAATAAGTGAATTGCTTACGACGACGTCTACATTTTACGTTACATTTTGGCATTTCGTTTGATAACATATACAAATCCTTAAATTCAAAACTTGGACGTTCGAGATAATTTTAAGTATTCATTAAGTTGTGATTTTGTTATTTAGCTTATTTATTTGAAATTATGGCAAGGAGGTCCTAGAAAAATAAAACGATTGTTTCATATTGCGTGTTTTATTAACATTCGCGAGTTTACCATAGAGAGATAGAGATAGTGGATACCATAATACGGATACCATACCCATAAAGTTTAGTGGTCAGAATTAACATTTTTACAAATAAAAATTTGGATTAAATTAATACATTTCTCATTTACATTGTAAGTTGTAGGCATTGAGAACAAAAATTGTGGGCGTGTTCATTTGATACAAAAATGTTTTGCTTTCTCAGATATATGCAATATAGAAAGTATCAGATATTTTTATTATTAAGTCTGGAAAAATTAATATTTCATTTGTAACTGGTGTTAGATATGGTACTTGAAATCAATTAATTAGTTGTAGAAGATATATTCTAAACATATATTAAAATTAGCCATATAGGATGACTTATCTTTATCGCATCTTGGGTAAAGTCGCATCCGTCTGATCGTTTCTGAATCTAAGAAATGAAAACTCTTTTCAAAAAGTTCATACATAAGAAGTATGATTAAGCAAATGATTCTATCTTTACTAGTCGGTGGGGGTGTCACCGCCTAATTTTACTTCAGGTAGATAGGTAAGTTTTATTTTGCCCAAGGTAAACCTTAACCGTTTTTAACAGGATAGTTCTGTAATAGTACTATGCTAAACAAGTCAACGCATTATTTGAGCTAGGATTCGTGATAACGTATCACTTTAAAGGAAGGAACTTTTGAGAAGTTAAAAAATGAGTGAGTCAACACTGCTATTTACATCTGTCAGCGGGACCGGCCCAAGACATTGACTGATAAAAAATTGAACAATATCGCGATTATCTATACGCAACTATATACGATTGAAATAGCCATGTGCAGACATTTCCTCGAAATAAGCGCAATAAAACTGAGTACCTATCATAATGTAATAAATGACGCAGTTGCATGATAACAATATTAATGTAAAATTGCTTTTAAATAAAATAATTGAAAACTGAAGAAAACCTAACCTAATATTCACTGCTTGTTTTAAACAATCATAATGGAGATGATATAATTGGCCCATGTACGTAGCAGCCCTTTCCCGTCTACGAGTAGAAGTGCGTTAACGTTGGTATCACCATCTATAATGAGGTGATTTCTAATCGCTGCCAAGTTGTTGCCTATTTCTTTAAGAAAAAAGTGATAAGACATCTAAACATCCAGAACAAACACTTTAGTGATACCAGTTAATCTACTCTACACAGTCAGAAATTAATTCATGGGGCAATATACATACTTCAACAAAGTTCCAGAAAATATATAAAGTCTCTCCTTTTTTAAATAAGAAGTATATTGTCCATATTCATCTTAAGACCTATCCGTTGGGAGACGCTATTGAGGTCATTGAGCATTGTGCTTAGGTCCTCCAGCGATTCTGCCATAAGGACTATATCGTCGGCAAATCGAAGGTGAGTGATATACTCAACATTGATGTTAATGCCGCATCCTTTCCAGTTCAGTAGCTTGAAAACGTCTTCCAATACAGCGTTGAAGAGTTTCGGGGATATAAAGTCACCCTGTCTTACACGTCTCTGCAGTTGGATAGGTTTCGTACTCTGATTCTGTACTCGGATAGCCATCAATACAAGCTAATGCCTGACTGTAATCCCACCAAATGTTAAGTAGTGATAAATAGATGGTAAGCCGCACTGTTAGCGTAACAAAAGCCTATTCACTCGTCTTGAAGACACACCTACAGAGGCAGATTAAATGGCGACAGCGCCTTGGGCTAAAGCCGCTACCTCTTCGGTGCCCATTTAGCGATCGGGGAAAATTTTTCTTCGTATTTTATATACAAATACAAGACATTTTTTTTTTCAAAGTTTAATTACATTTAATTCTAATATATATGTGCTATTTTGTTCGATAACTTGTTGTCATCTTGTAGGTAGTGATATAATCCCGTAGCTGTAGAAATCTTGGGATTTTTGATCAAAAAAATGCGACAAGTAGTTTTGACAGTCCTTTCTTAATGTTAACCTAACTGTTTAGGCCAAAATATTAACATATTTAAAACTTGCATTCCAAGACGCTCGTCTCGGCGTGTCCTCCGATGGAATTTAGAGGTCACCGCGTGGGACAGTTGCGCGCGTGCGTCGCATACGGTTATCGTTCGTGTTGGATATAGATTAATTGTGCGCGTACACCGGGGCGAGTAGAAGTATGGAAAATATTTGCTGCACGACGGACGGTATTGTAAAAGTCTAGAAAAGAATTGTTGCGCGGTGGCCGGGCGCGTGCCTCCTATGGAGTTGTCCTTAATTTGTACGTTTCGTGATAACGAGGCTGGACTTAAAGTATGGAAAAGATTTTGTCGCGCGTCGGCCTGTTAACTGCTTATGGAAGTTAATATTGAATTGTTGCGTGCGGCCGGTGTTTTGATTTGAAAATTTGGGTTAACTGTGCACATCATTTTGAATTTACTATTGAATATTTGAGTCTAGTTAAGACCACCTCGAATAGTGTCCGTTTTGAGCGTTACGTGACAGCGAGGCCTAATTTGAGTTTTGAGTGATTAAAGTAACTGATTGCCATTAGTTTGCGACGACAGGTTGTTGTGTGTCATTTGATAGCGTAATATGAAATTTGCTCTGTCGGGAGAACTTTAAAGCTTTGTAACTCGAGAAGAGACCGCGTTCGTTCTCGTGTTTATAATTTTATGCTAAGTGAACCTGGAACATTGAATATTGAACTTTGACTGACTGTTCTTTACTTGAGTCGTATGTCACTTGTTTTAATTTCGATGAACGTTGATTTGGTTGACTTTGAAGTTAATTAAATGTACAATAAATTTTATAAACTAATACAGTGAAATGAAAGCAGAGGTTTTCAATTGGTGAACGCCCCCCTGGAGGGATCGCACATTTGGAGAGAAGCAGCGCCTGTGGATCTGCAGTCCGACTACCTCGGTTAAGTCAGGTTACATGTACACACTACTACACACTACTTACATGCACATCACTTACCACCTGACTGGTACCATGTGGTCAACCTTACCTCCGGAAATCGGTAAGTTGTGCTTGCTTATTTGCCATTAATTTAGAACTATCCATAGGCCATTGGGCCCGAACCCTCGGCTGCTCGTCGTGGAGGCTACTACCTACCCAAAGAAATTCTGAAGTCACCGAATCAGGTGAAAAACTGAGAGTGCAAGATCAAGACTATATTGTGGATGCTTTAACATTCCCAACCAAGCTCTCAATTTTGGCAGAGTGACCAAAATTGTGTGTGGTCTGGCGTTATCATCATGTAAGACCACTCCTTTTCTGTTGAACAATTTCGGCCGTTTTTTCACAGTTTCTTGCTTAAGTCTCATTAGTTGTTGGCAGTAGAGATCCCAATCGATGGTTTTGTCCAGAGGAAAAGCTCTTAATAAACGATGCCCTTCCAATCCCACTACACACAGCAACACCTTATTGTGTGTTAATCCGCGTTTCGCTACAGTCTGTGGAGCCTTTGACCATGATCTTTTTCGCACTTTCTTGTCGTAGTTGATCCACTTTTCATCACCAGTGATCAATCTTTTCAAAAATGGTTAGGTTTCAATACGTTTCAATAGAGAATCGCAAATGAGTACACGATTCTTTAGGTTTCTTTCAGTGAGCTCGTGTGGGTGAAATGTCAAGCATTTTTGTAATTTATGGTCAATCCTCGATTCCTCGGCTATATCGTTACTACTAATATGCCGATCTTGCTCAACTTTTTCAAAAAATGACATCAACATTATCCGCAAGGGGGCGACCAGAGCGAGCTCCATCTTAGACATCAAAATTCCCGGACTAAAAACGCTTGAACCAACTTTGTGCTGACACTGCATTATTAGGTCCATAAACGTCAAAATTTT